CAATTCTAATTTAAATGTACTGCTTTGGTTATCAAAAGAGAGAGAAGGGGGGAACATTTTGTAAGAAATATTGGTTAATACTAAATAATCGTTGAATATAAAATCAACCAGGAGAATGAAATAATGATATTTAAATTTGGGTTAATTTTATTTCGGTTATTTATTTACTCTGAAGAAATAACTTATATTAAGTAATGGAACGCCAGAAATACAATTTTTCTACACTTCAGGATATCATAAAAAAAGGACATTTATTATTCTCTCAGTATAGTTCTCTGCAAACTTCTTGTGTACTCCGCCCTGAAACTTAACTATACATTTTGAAATGGTGTTTCTGAGTTAATTTCATCAATGTTTTGTAACCTATTTGCACACATTTTTATGTGTTTATTCAAAATTTTTCTAATTTTTTTTGGAAACGGGGTTGGTAAAAATTCCCAATTTTAGTATTTTAATGAAAGTAGAACTTTAAATTATTATCTGAACTTTATCAGTACGTTTACTATCTAACTACTATTAACATAAAATATGGAGTAGTATTATACATATTGCATACATTTGAGATTTTATAATTTTTAAGGTTAAATGACTGAAAAAGCAAATTTCCTTGTTCGATCACTTTTTCTGGACTTTTTGCTCAAACGATATTTTTCGGTGTTTAGTGAAACTTTAACAACTAATACTTATCACATTGTGTAGTTTTTGGATAAAAGAAAGATGCAGCTACAAAATGAACTTTATTACTTGAAAAATCATATTACCACTGATAGTAAACGTTCAAGTTATCCCGTTTTTGATAGTGGAGATAACTTAAACACTTAAGATTAATGATACAAACATCATATTCGTTGGACACTTTAATAGCTATCTGGGCTTAAAACTCAGTGGATAAGGATAAGAGTGGTGATAGATTCGAGTTCCGGTGTAAACATTATTACTGGTTTTAGACTAAAGAGTCTCAGAAAAGACAAATGTGAGTCTCGTATTATATCATAGATTGCAAACTATCTATTCTAAATAACAGTGAATGATATTTTCAAATTAATAATACTTTAACCATAAACATAATATACTGCTGGATCCACTGGATACAACTATTTGAAGAAAACATATCTAGATGTGTATTAACTCGGTCTATCAGGTTTCATTTTCTTTTGTTACCTCAAAGTATTTAAATATTTTTACGAAATTTTTAAAAGTTCAGTAAAAGTTTTGCGCCATAGATAAAACGGTATTAAATTAACTTTATTCCTTTCAAGTTAAAAATTTATTTATGAAACCATATAAGCGTTTGTGCGCGAAATCGAAGAACCTGAGTTAAAATCCCGCGAAGGGGATCGTAGATGCTCACCACTGTGGAGTCCCACAATAGAATGAAATAGCCATCTAGTGCTCCCAGGTTTTCAATGGTGGTCTAACATCAGTCGGTTCATGATCTCAATCAAATACATATTATTCTCCACCACCCCATACAAAAAATTTGTTTCATATAAATTTAATCACTGTTTCATTTGGGTAGTTAGTTTTTACTAATCCCAGTATCGTTTTTTTTAAATAGAGTACTGAAAAATTAATGAACTGAATGAAATGCTTACCTGTTAAAGCTCATTATAGATAAAAACAAAAAGAAGTTGTCTAGGAAGTAACAAAGAAACGTTTCACATAAACAAATTTGTTAATATTATTACGTAATAAAAAATTGTATCATGTCCTGACAAGTTTAAATGTGTTTATGTGTGAATATTTTCTAATAAAATAAACTTTTTCATTAGGTACTTGCATTTCCGACTATGTATAAAGGTATAACTACTTTAAAACATTGTGTATATTTACTTCTACTATATTTTGCAAATGATTGGGGTCATTAATTCTTGTTTCGTAGTGCATAATTAAAATGTAAGTTGCTCAATCATTCTATTAGAAAATGATTCATATCTTTACAATTGAATTTCTCATTATTTACTCAAGTTTTATCGATTTTTTCTTCTACTGAATTAACCGAACTATCATTACAGAATATATCCTGTTGAATATTATCATTGGTAGCTAACCTAGTATGTTAAATTCATTTCTGTAACAAGATTTTATGAACAAACAAAAAGTCCTTTAAAAAAAGCGATTCTAAATCAATAAAAATCATCCATACTTTCTATGTTCATATAACTTGGTAGGTCAAAGGATAAAATCTACCTTGATTAGTGTATTTCACATTCATAAATGTCAAAACAACATGCTCATCCATTGATTACTTGCAGAGCATCTAAATTTTCAGGGATCATAAAGCTGAATTCTATAAATTCTTTTTCTACATTAGGGTTGAAGAATTAAAGTATGTAATTTATTTGCAATAAACATTTTTTTACAGAAGTCGATAAACGTATTTCTCACATACAATAATAATGGTATCAATGAAAAATTATGACTAGTGAGACTTTCTAACTTTTAATAGCTGGAAAGATGGTTAACTGTCAATATTCGATGAAAATTTCATAAGTCACGAAACTCATTTTCCAATCTTGTGATTTATGTAGATTAAACTTATTTTTCTGAATGTATTCAAAGATCAAAAGGTCACAAAGATAAACGTAGAAAATATAATTAAACTTCTCATCATATCTATTTAAAGGGATATATTATCATCTTTATTTTAATTAACGCTTCATAAGCTTTTATACAATATGTGAGTTTAGAAATATTTTGCGTTTCTTAAAAAGGTCCACTAAAATTGAAATAAAATCCGAGTTGTTGATTGTTTACAGCTTTCTGTGAGAGAGAACAAACCAGTTTCCAGCTGAGAAGAAAATTGGAAAAAGACGATGGAAATGGATAGGACATACATTACACAAATCATCAAACTGCATCACGAGACAAGCTCTAACTTGAAATCTTGAAGGGAAGAGGAACAGTGAAAGGTCAAAGAACACATTACATCAGAAAATAGAATGAGGTATGAAAAGGATGTATAACAACTGGAAGTAGCTGGAAAGGATTTCCCAGGACAGAGTTGGATGGCGAGTACTGGTGAGCGTCCTATGGTCCTTCACGAGGAGTAACAGGCGTAGGTAAGTAAGTAAGTGTCAGTCATCAATAGAGTGAATCGATCACTTATTAAAAATAAAAATCCAGTCATTACGATGAATTTCTTTTATTGATGATAGATATTTACACAAATTAATGGAATAGTCACTTCTGTTTACATTAGTATGTTTTATCCTTTAAAGACAAAACAATAGTGTCTTTTCGTGATAATATTTTATAGAAACAAACCAATGTAACTCACAAATTTAAGAGGTCATTTTGATTTGTCATTAAAACCTCATTTAAAGCATAAATATGATTATTAGTATCTATACTTTATGTTTTCTGCAAATGACAGATAAAATCCATTAACTTAATTTACCGTAGTTTCCAGGTTCGGAGGATTATACGGAAATATAATTTATTTTTTACTAAGAGCTTACTCCAATTATTAAAGGTTCATTATCTCACTTCAGTTACACCGATTTACTTTGGACATTCCCAGAAGAATAAAGTCAATAAATTTCAGTAGATTTCAACTGAAAGGCTATTCGCAGAGTTTAATGCCGACGATACGATTATATTTTTAAATGATATAGACAGGAATTACTTATGTAAATTTTATAAATGGAGTGTTTGTGTTTAATATACTCTACTCGAAATTCTACAAGTCCAGTTTTATAAAGTTTTCATTATTGAGGTGAATGGTAAACAACAACTCGGTGAAAATTTTAGTTATTTATTAATTTCATTTCACAATAAATGAAATAAATGCTGCTTTAGCTAACATAGTCCATGACAATATGGATGAAACCAACTAAGTTGAATATTTTGATCTATTTATTTTAGTTTAGAGGAATTGTTTTACTTGTTCAATGTCTTTTATTATGTACTAGTTAGTGAAACAAATGGTTGAAGGACTGGTCCATTTACTAGAAGTACAAATTAAGAAACGTTTACTGTAAATGGACAAAAACTACCAACTATTATTTTCGTTCTATATGAGTGTAGAATGTCCTAGCTACATTATGACTACAGACATAGAAACTAATATTTTAAACTGTATTGTACAGTTATTCTTTTGTTACAATCAAAAAGTATCATTAGTTAATAAAGCATAAATAATAGCAAAAGACAGTTTCATTGTTATAATAATGAATCGTCGTTGTGTAATCTAAAATGTACTAAAATTTAATAAAAGCATGAAAATAAACGAAATACTGAAGCAAAGTAAGTTAATTCGTCTACAGATTTGATTAGCGATTAGATGTTAGACAGTTTTTTATCCGCTGACTACATGATATACCGTTTCAACTGAGGTGTCATAAATTAATTTGTTTATAAATTTCTGTTGGGCCGACAAATATGAACGAGGATTTAATTTAAATTACAGACTGACAACTATTGAACAACATGAAAAAAATGAATCTTTACTACTCCTTAGTATGATGTCACTTAGCAAGATAATAATACAATCTCACAGGAATTGGATGCACGACTTTAAAGAGATACGACGATAAATTTATACTGATGCTTCTGAGTTTCACTTGTATTGTTAGACTCAACCAAATCCAAAAGCACTTTCATTCATTTTGAAAATTACCAATTCACGAACTAACTTAGCAATTAAGTTCAATTAGCTAACCATTGAAATCTAGGAAGAATTACACACTTGTTTCGTATTAATGTGAAACTGATAAAAACATTCATATCACACATTCTGTATTAAATTCTTTACATTTCTTACTTAGGTTACTTCATAGAATTGAGCGACCATCTTTCACTGACATTCATATAATTGTCCCATATCTTACACGGTTAATTTCCACTAAAGACTTATAGGCATAAGCCTATAAGTCTCATAACCTATTCAGGTGCGTTTGTGAAAAGTTTACTACATTTTGTTGTACAACTTACAAATAAGCCTAAGCAGACATTGTGGTTATTGGCAATTTGCATCGAAAAGAATGTAGATTATTCAGATGACGATTCCTGAACTGTTAACATCTAACTGGCGATCATTCAATATTTATTGCAAGGGTCCGTCAAAAAGTAAGAAAAATAAATTTGTCGAAATACTTTGTGCTGAGAATTCTTACAACGGAACCTCCAGAGGCCCTAAAGGAGCCAAAGAGTTTCAGCCATTCAGAGCATGAGGGAGCTTTCTAGGATATTAACGTGGTATGCTACTATTGGTCAGAGGCATAATATGTCTCTTAGCGGATTGGCTAAAATATAATGTTGATTTGACAAATGCTAATAATCTATAAATACCCGTGTTTTTCTGTACAAAAATGAACATTCGGAGTAAAGTGCCTTTCGCTTAATCTGCGCTTGCTGCGTAGTTCTAGCTTGCGGGTTACCAGAACAGCTCAGAAACCGAATAAAGCGTTCGAATTAGCAAGACTTATCAATTCTATATTGTACCAAAAATATAACATTGAACAAAGCCGAATAAAGTCGATAGCATTCGTTCTGCATTAAGAAGGACCCGAAACACATAACATTGATCATCACCCAGTGCTCAATCAATTCTGAATATACCTCAGTTCCACAGGAGGTCAGTCACGGGCCAAATAGCTTAGTGGTAACATCTCTGACTGTGAAGTTGGGTGAAACGGGATCAAATCCGTCATGGAGCATCAGTTCCTTCAAGATCACAGGTACACCTTGCTGACTTGTACCAAATAGCACGAAACCCTGGTCCAGGATTCTCTGTTGACTACCTCTAACCACCATCTTATCTCAACATAGTGCACGCAATGTTGACTCAACTAGACTAGTGGCCATATTGCAACTTGGTCGGTAGCAACCGATCTGCACTAAGAAGGACATGACACACAAGATATTGATCACCACCCATTGACTAATCAATTGTGAATAATAACAATGATCGAAACAACAAAAGAAAACATTGAATATAAAGAAACAAATCATTGTTTCTTGATTATTAACTAATGATTAATTAACTTTTATTGATAGAAATATAGACAAAAGTATTACAAACGGTTATAATTTTTACAATCATAACGAATTTCTCTAAATACTAAAACTACATGAAATACAATCCATGTTTTTGTCTTTATATGTTAAATAAAACACATTTTAGTTCAAAGAAACTCTTTGAAGCATCCAATAAATATGAATAATTGATTGATTTTGTATTGGAAGGTTCTGAGAAAAATGACTATCTTCAAGTCATTTGGTCTTCAAACCTACCTTTGTAAGGTTAAACAAAACATGTAGAATACATATTTCAACTAGTTTTATTAATCCAAGAATCCTATGAAAATCAAAGTCTAGGTACATTGTTTTACATAACTTAGTTTTAAAGCTTAAATGAATGTTTAGCGAAGTGTATAATGAATAGTTTCACAAACAGCTAAAATATTGGAGCGTATTTTAGGTTGAAAAAAACAATAAAATTAAGAATATTTTAATTACGCCTGAACTGAAATATTATGCTTCATAATAGATTCGAAAGTATTTGTCTTTATTTGAATGTATTTCAGATACTTTAGACTTTATCAGTTATTAATTTTGAATCGATAATTGTGGTTATTGCTGGCGTATGGTGATCCCGTGATTAGGCCCATATTCGCTTAGATTTCACTGATTGATCTAATTCCGAAACAATTCCAGTTATTCAGTGAAGTTACACATATTTTCATTGGGAAGCAAAATGCTATTATATAAAATCTCAGTGTTCATTAGATAAATGTCATATTTGTGTGAATTTATTAGTGAGCCTATAATAATCTAATTAGAAGATTTATGTTGATTCAGATGTTCTGGACCCTCTCTTCATTCCCTACTATAAGTTAGATATTCATTTTAATATCTCACTGGCGAATCTGTTGACGCAAATTAATGATGGGAAACCCGAACTGGTGCAACAGAATATCACTCACAACTTCCTAATAAGAAAAAATCCAATAGCATTACCGTTGCATATGAAAATAGAGATTTGTGTGTTATTACTGCTTGATAGAATTGTTGAATCGCTGTGTTTGATCTTATCACTTTCATAGGAAACGAAACGAGCCATTATGCAATAAACTTACAAGTATAAGAAATTTACTTCTGACAAGATAAGCAAAATAAATCTGTTGATTTTTATGTTCCCTCACAAACAGTGAAGTCTGTTCTTAGTGTAGTTAATCTTCACATAACTTTATATGGTTATCCTTGTAGTGTTTTTGGTTCATTAGACAAACTAATGTAATTGATAAATGAATTATAAGCGACTGACACAACTGTATTTAGTTGAAAGGTCATAGGTAAGTTAGAGGAATGAAAGAAACATGGTTAAATAAACTATTTCTCTGGGGTCTGTAATTGCATCCCTTGAACCAATCGAATTCATACGCAAATGCGATCCGAAAATCTAGCAAATCAAACACATGATCTCGTTTCAACATTACAAAAATTCCAACATTTCAAATCATCTGTAATTGATTGCTGTCATGGATACATTAACATAATTTTATCATAACAATCTAATAACTAAAAATCATATGGATCAGCTTATTCTCTTCAAAAAGAACAAAGACTTAATCCTAACAATCTCTGCTTATAATGCTCGTAACTTGAGACAATACTGAGACCATCCGCACAAGATACACATATGCCAGTAAGTGACTGATTAATTGCAATCCTAAACGTCAGTGGGAAGATTCAAACGATCAATAGAAAAATGAATTGAAACTTCACCCCATTGCATAAGCTGTTTTGATCTGTTTTGATCTTATATCACTATAAATTAAACAAATTATATTTAAGAAAGAAACTTTTATCTAATGAAGATATACATAAATCACACAATAGTCGTCTATCTTTATTTAATACAATAAAAAATAGTCCATTTATATTAGATGAAGATGAATTAGAAGATTTAAATTGACATTTCTGTTGTTTGGACACATTTAAATGGAATATATTTTAGGATAAATAAAAAGTTAATCAAGCATAAAAGGACAATGGTTTTCTTATTTTTTCTTAAAATTATACTTTCCCTATTCTGACTACTCAATCGATTTGCTTAAATGTCAATATAATTAACAAAATTTGATCAAATAAAACAATACTGTCAAATAATCATTCTAGATTGTTTTATATTCAAATTGTATAGAATATAGAAGTGAATATCAGTATGACTATTTTTGTTTATTTCAAGAGTTCGTATCTAAGGCGGTTGGTTGATGAAATAAAACTTTTAATGATAAACTTTGCCTGTCTGTAAATTTTATGTGCACAAACTATAATGGTTAATTTTATAATACATTTAAGAAGTGTCGTATTCATAAAGTATTAAATTATAATCTTATGATTTGTTTGGAGAGATGGATAGTGGCTAGCAGTAGAATTCAGGGCGTGCATTTCGTTCTATACGGAACTCATCAGACGGACGTACCTACATCGCAGATTTATTGTTTAATCTGGGAGTCGAACTTAGTACCGTTCGCTTCAAATGCCATCGCGTTACCCACTTAGATACTGAGTCCTGATAGCCACTTGCTTGTGCAATGGAGTGAAGTTTAAATTCACTTGGTATTGTTACTGGATTTGCATCCCAGAGTGCACATCAACACTGAGATGTAGGTACATCCAGATGACGCGTCTCAAAAAGGACGAAAGACGCGTCCTGGTTTGCACTGCTAGCCACTATCCATCTCTACTTATACTGCTTGTGACCTAAGGCAATACGCACAGTATGCACATATCCCAATAAGAGACCGATAAATTGCAGTCATAAACATCAATGGGAAGATTCAAGTAAACAATACCAAGTGAATTTAATGTTTAGTATATGTGAGATGAATTAATGTTCAAGAATTTATAAAGGTATCACTGAATTTTGTACGTAAAGTTAGTATTGTAATCTCGTATGAATACTCAATATATATTTCTTTCTAACTCAGAATAAAAAGTACTTCCCATGTAGTGCATTTCAAAACAACCATCCCTAAGATACTAATTGTTAGATCATTGCTTGAAAAAATTAAGGATTGTTTTCAAGTTAGACTTGAATCAAACTGTTTCAGTATTATTCACCTGCTGTAAGACACTTCTTGTTTTTTATAATTTACGAATCTAAAATACTTTCATTCAAAAAGGCAGTATATAACTAGGACAACCGAGTGTTAATGAATGTTCTGCTCGTCGTCAGAACATGTTAAATCAAGTTGTGATTTTGTACCTACGGAAGAAATCTGCAAATCCTATGGTTGACAATACTGTTTTTACTCTTCATTGTACGGACGTGATAAGTTCCATAAAATCTTGTGTCAGTAAGGTGAGCAGATTCAACAAGAAAGGTTCAAACTCTGTAAACAAAAAATAACAGTTTTATTCATTAAAACCACGGAGCATTGTAGACAAAGATTATATGCACTTATTTATATTCTGAAATATATTAGAAAAAGCAATGAATGATATTACTAAACACTTAAGTAAAACACTTATCATCATTTTCCGCCTGTTTTATGACGTTGATTTTTTATCTACTTAGCAAATTAAGAAATGTTAACTATTTGTGTGCATTTTTATTTGCATTTCTAAACTAGCAGTTGCAATACCGGAATATTTAAATCAAGAATATTTAAATACATTAAACTCTTGTTCATCCACCATTGCTATTGTTATTATTAAATAGTGTTGAAATATTCTCATGTATAGAAAATATGAAGAGAACATTAACATTATTTTATGCTCCAAATATTCAAATATCAATTTTTAATAGTAGAAAATGAACCATAACACATTGAATATAAGCTAGAATTATTGTAATGAACTCAAAGGTTTGTAAAAATATCTTTTATAAAAATAGGCTAATACTGAATCACACAAAATAGATGGTATATCTTTGTATTAAATAATATGGGTTTACTAATCTTATGATTTATACAAATATTCATCAAGACTGGCAAAGTAAGAGCCGCATTTCTACAATTGAAGAACATGTGGAACTCAAAAAAAACTTCCAACCAATATCAAATTAAGAAACTGCAATACGAACGTCAAGAAAGTTCTGTTGTACGAAGCTGAAACTTGGAGAACCACGACAACCATCATCAAGAAGTTACAAGTATTTATAAATAGTTGTCTACGCAAGATAATCAACATCTATTGACCAGTTACTATCAACAAC